GATAACCTCAAGATAAGATAACCTCCCTCTGCATCCTCAGTATGAGAATGGACGTGGTGGGGGTGGTAGTGGTGGTGATGGGGGTGGGGGTGGGGGTGGTAGTGGTGGTGATGGGGGTGGGGGTGGGGGTGGTAGTGGTGGTGTGTGTGGGGGGGGGGGCGGGGAGGGAGCGGTCAGCATGACCTTGAGTGACCACGCTCCACTGAACACCACTACACACAACTTCCGTGGGCACTTGGCACCCCTGACCCCCCCCCCCCCACTTCCTCCCTCCCCCATAACCCCCACCCAATCTCCCCCATAAGGCGCCATTCACCTCAATATACCTCTTCACACCCCCGAGGAAACATTCAGGATAGGCTGTGTCAGATTAGGCTACATTCAAGGATAGTAAATATTGGTGGACCAGGATAGGCAGGAAGAATTTCGAGCACAATAAACTAGCCGCCTCCGGCAGCAACAATCAAATTCGTATTAGCTGCTGAGATTAGTTGTGATTAGCTGATATTTTTTAGATGACTTGCAGTGGTAGTGGTGGATGGGTTCCTGTTTAACGGTAAGTCTATGTCTGTTGTTGTAATTATGGCGTAGAATGCTGTATACTTGTGTAGACCGTTATATGTGTTCTTAAATACTGCCACACACTCTCCCAGTGGCGTGAGACACTGGGAGACAAAAGAGTTAGAAGGGACATGATCACCACATGCAAGATTCTCAGAGGAATTGATAGGGTAGATAAAGACAGATTATTTAACACAAGGAGGCACACGCACAAGGGGACACAGGTGGAAATTGAGTGTCCAAATGAGCCACAGAGACGTTAGAAAGTATTTTTTTCAGTGTCAGAGTAGTAGACAAATGGAATGCATTAGGAAGTAATGTGGTGGAGGCTGACTCCATACAGAGCTTCAAGTGTAGATATGATAGAGCCCAGTAGGCTCAGGAACCTGTACATTAGTTGATTGACAGTTGAGAGGCGGGACCAAAGAGCCAGAGCTCAACCCCCGCTAGCACAACTAGGTGAGTACACCAGACTATCCACGCCTGGGAGACCCACTCCTCCCACCTACTCACCAATCACCCCCCCCCCCCCCACCTACCCACCCACCTAGCCAGAAATTAGGCCCCTACCTACTCACCAATTTACCCCCTACCCACTCCACCCACCCACCAATTAGTCACCCGCCGACCTACCAACTACCGCCCCCCCCCCCACACACACCACCGTGTCCACAACCGCCCACACGGCCAAATGTCACTTGCGGTGTACTTCTTGTATTGATACGGATATAATGCTGAACTTTAATTATATATAATGAAATACGTGAGCGTGCTGCTGGCTCACTAAGACACGCCCTTCGATATTACACACACACACACACACACACACACACACACACACACACACACACACACACACACACACACACACACACACACACACACACACACACTCACACACACACACACACACTCACACACTCACACACACACACACACACACACACACACACACACACACACACACACACACACACACACACACACACACACACACACGCTGTTTAACACAAGGGGCACACGCACTAGGGGACACAGGTGGAAACTGAGTGCCCAAATGAGCCACAGAGATATTAGAAATAACTGTCAGAGTGGTTGACAAATGGAATGCATTAGGAAGTGATGTGGTGGAGGCTGACTCCATACACAGTTTCAAGTGTAGATATGATAGAGCCCAATAGGCTCAGGAACCTGTACACCTGTTGATTGACAGTTGAGAGGCGGGACCAAAGAGCCAGAACTTAACCCCCGCAAGCACAATTAGGTGAGTACACACACACACACACACACACACACACACACACACACACACACACACACACACACACACACAAACACACTCACACACACACACACACACACAGTAACAAGTGGAGTACCTCAAGGATCGGTGCTGGGACCAATCCTCTTTCTAATTTACGTAAATGATATGTTTACAGGAGTGGAATCATACATGTCAATGTTTGCGGATGACGCAAAATTAATGAGAAGAGTTGTGACAGACGAGGATTGTAGGATCCTCCAAGAGGACTTAAACAGGCTGCAGAGATGGTCAGGGAAATGGCTACTGGAGTTTAACACCAGTAAATGTAAAGTTATGGAAATGGGATCAGGTGACAGGAGACCAAAGGGACAGTACACAATGAAGGGGAACAGCCTACCTGTAACGATTCGAGAAAGAGACCTGGGAGTGGATGTGACACCTACTCTAACTCCTGAGGCACATATAAATAGGATAACGACAGCAGCGTACTCTACACTGGCGAAAATTAGAACTTCATTCAGAAACCTAAATGAGGAGGCTTTTAGGGCGCTTTACACTGCCTACGTGAGACCCGTCTTAGAGTATGCCGCGCCATCATGGAGCCCCCACCTGAAGAAACACATAAAGAAACTGGAGAAGGTTCAGAGGTTTGCGACGAGGCTTGTCCCAGAGTTACGAGGGATGGGATATGAAGAGCGGCTGAAGGAACTGAACCTTACGACACTAGAGAAAAGAAGGGAGAGAGGAGATATGATAGGGACATATAAAATACTCAGGGGAATTGACAAAGTGGAAATAGATGAAATGTTCACACGTAATAATAACAGAACGAGGGGACATGGGTGGAAACTGGAAACTCAGATGAGTCACAGAGATGTTAGGAAGTTTTCTTTTAGCGTGAGAGTAGTGGAAAAATGGAATGCACTTGGGGAACAGGTTGTGGAAGCAAATACTATTCATATTTTTAAAACTAGGTATGATAGGGAAATGGGACAGGAGTCATTGCTGTAAACAACCGATAGCTGGAAAGGCGGGATCCAAGAGTCAATATTCGATCCTGCAAGCACAACTAGGTGAGTACAAATAGGTGAGTACACACATATTTGGCCTCGTAGCCTGGTGGATAGCGCGCAGGACTCGTAATTCTGTGGCGCGGGTTCGATTCCCGCACGAGGCAGAAACAAATGGGCAAAGTTTCTTTCACCCTAAGTGCCCCTGTTACCTAGCAGTAAATAGGTACCTGGGAGTTAGTCAGCTGTCACGGGCTGCTTCCTGGGGTGTGTGTGTGTGTGTGGTGTGGGAAAAAAAAAGTAGTTAGTAAACAGTTGATTGACAGTTGAGAGGCGGGCCGAAAGAGCAAAGCTCAACCCCCGCAAAAACACAACTAGTAAACACACACACACACACACACACACACACACACACACACACACACACACACACACACACACACACACACACACACACACACACATCATGGAGTCCCCATCTGAAGAAGCATATAATGAAACTGGAAAAAGTTCAGAGGTTTGCAACGAGACTCGTCCCAGAGCTACGAGGGATGGGGTATGAGGAGCGCCTGAGGGAACTGTGCCTTACGACACTAGAAAGAAGAAGGGAGAGGGGGGACATGATAGGAACGTATAAGATACTCAGAGGGATTGACAGGGTGGACATAGACGAAATGTTCACACGGAATAGTAACAGAACGAGGGGACATGGATGGAAGCTTGAAACTCAGATGAGTCACAGAGATGTTAGGAAGTTTTCTTTTAGCGTGAGAGTAGTGGGAAAATGGAATGCACTTCAGGAACAGGTTGTGGAAGCAAATACTATTCATAATTTTAAAACTAGGTATGATAGGGAAATGGGACAGGAGTCATTGCTGTAAACAACCGATGCTCGAAAGGCGGGATCCAAGAGTCAATGCTCGATCCTGCAGACACAACTAGGTGAGTACAACTAGGTGAGTACACACACGGGTATAGAATCTTTCCTCTCATTGTTTGCTGATGATGCAAAAATTATGAGAATTAAAACAGAGGATGATAGTAGGAGGCTACAAGATGACATAGACAGACTGCATGAATGGTCCAACAAATGGCTACTAAAGTTCAACCCGAGTAAATACAAGGTCATGAAACTTGGCGGTGGAAACAGGAGGCCAGACACAGAATACCGAATGGGAAATGAAGTACTTCATGAAACAGACAGAGAGAAAGCTCTAGAAGTTGATATCACACCAAACCTGTCTCCTGAAGCCCACACGAAAAGAATTACATCTGCGGCATACGCAAGGCTGGCTAACATCAGAACAGCCTTCAGGAACTTGTGTAAGGAATCATTCAGAACTTTGTACACCACATATGTTAGACCAATCCTGGAGTATGCGGCTCCAGCATGGAACCCGTACCTTGTCAAGCACAAGCCGAAGCTGGAAAAAGTTCAGAGGTATGCCACAAGGCTTATGCCAGAACTAAGAGGCATGAGTTACGAGGAAAGGCTGCGGGAGATGCACCTCACGACACTGGAAGACAGAAGAGTAAGGGGAGACACGATCCCTACCTACAAAATTCTCAGAGGAATTGGCAGGGTAGATAAGGATAGACTTTTTAACACAGGGGATTCGCGAACAAGGGGACACAGGTGGAGACTGAGTACCCAAATGAGCCACAGAGACGTTAGAAAGAACTTTTTCAGTGTCAGAGTAGTTAGCAAGTGGAATGCATTGGGCAGTGATGTGGTGGAGGCTGACTCCATACACAGTTTCAAATGTAGATATGATAAGAGCCCAGTAGGCTCTTATCATATTAGTATTAAGAGCCCAGTAGGCTTATATTTATATATACAGTATATATAGTATACAGTATTATACTGTACAGTATATGTATACAGCATAATGTATACAGTATATACATTCCGCTTGATGCATTATACACCTCACGTTATGCATGTTATCCATCATGCACCCTATTTGGTGGATCCAACATTCAACCTGAGCCTAATGCATTACATACATCAGGCATCTCACCTGCATGATGCAAGGTTTAACATCTCATTTGTGTTTACAAAAATCACGTGATTATTAACATCACGCCTGATGGTTGTATAATAGATATTAGTACAGTATATCTATTACACCTCACCTGATAAATAATACACACACACTACCCACCTGTTGTATTATGCGTGCACTCTCCTGGTGCACTAACGCACTCTCCTGGTGCACTAACGCACTCTCCTGGTGCACTAACGCACTCTCCTGGTGCTAAGGAACCATACACACCACCACCACAGTGGCCGGGTTCGAGGAGGTGTGTGGGAATATATCCAGACGCCGCCGCGGAGGGGAGGGTGAGGAGGGTGTCCCGGGCAGCGATGGAGGAGGTACCGAGCCTTAACAATGCCACAGATGAGCACAAACTGGCGCTAGGGCAGACGACGCGAGGGCTTGTGGCACCCCCACCATGGCACTGAGGAAGAGGGGGGAGGTGGTGCTCTTGTGGAGGGCACGTGCGGGAGTGTGGGGGAGCTGAGGGGGGGGGTGAAGGACATGGGGAGTGGATCAGATGGTGATGTATTCTGATAACTGAGTCCTGCCGCTTGGGGGAGACGTTTTGTTTTTTTGGGAGCGCCGTGTGCTGGCTGTTGATATGTGCGGGAACCTTCAGGTCGTAGCGTGACATTCAGGTGTTGTACACAGTTTAGTGTGTAGAGTGAGGGGGTAGAGTGACGGGGTTGGTTAGAGGGGTGAGAGACGACCATTGACAGCGGGAATGGGAGGAGGAGGAGGAAGAGGAGGCTGGAGGGGGGCAAAAGCAGCCATGCATGAGAGCAGTAGCTTCATACACTGGGCTGATCCCCAGCAGGAAATACCTGTTGTATGCTTTCCCAAGGTCGACACTCCATGGTACTTGTATGCATCTTAAATACTCTCGTCTCGTCGCAGTCATCTTCAAGTTCCGCCCGAGGCGCGGGCGGACTCGGAAGCAACACGTCGGTGGGTAACAGCGTGTCCTTCATGCATAATCTCTCTCTAATATTGTCTACAGTTTTGCGGCAAAAGTAATCCAAATAGCAGCAAATATTTAGAAGAGCGGCAAACCGGCTAGTCACGCAGGATGACAATTCCCAGGCAATCATCATGTTATATCACGCCGAGGCAGCGGCCAGTAGCTACGAGATGACCGGAGTATTGTCTAGTGAGGGATGCACTCCTTTGTTCATAGGTGGAAAATAATGAATCAAGGGCTCGAGACCTATTTAATCAGACATATTGCAGCAGCAGAGTGTATGTCTATGGAACCAGTAGCTGCACTACAGCTACCTACCAGTACACACAAAATAGAGGAGGAGAATTTTGTGATTCCATGTCTACTATTCAAAAACTTGAAAATGTCTGTAAAATAGGCAACAAGAACCTCATATTAGCAATAATAAATAACCCGGTCGCGGACTAAAAGGTTTAAAATCTCTCTGGCGTGTTACAATCTCTCATCTCACTCCTCATCATCTCATACCTCATCATCTCACTCCTCATCATCTCATACCTCTCATCTCATACCTCTCATCTCATACCTCATCATTATGACACAGACATAGCAGCAGCCAAATTAATATTCATCAAAGACCAGATTAAACTAGACTTAGGTATCCTTATTCATCTCTGTTAACATTATATTGCTCCAAACATTCAGGTCTGATAGATCAATCACAGACACTCAAAGTCCACAAGCATCAACATACAAAATTATTATCTGTTTTAGTCTCTCATTCATAGTCCATATCTAGTTACTGTGACGAGTGACTGTGACAAGTGACTGTGACGAGTGACTGTGACAAGTGACTGTGACTGTGACGAGTGACTGTGACAAGTGACTGTGACGAGTGACTGTGACTGTGACGAGTGACTGTGACAAGTGACTGTGACGAGTGACTGTGACAAGTGACTGTGACGAGTGACTGTGACAAGTGACTGTGAGAAGTGACTGTGAGAAGTGACTGTGAGAAGTGACTGTGACAAGTGACTGTGGGAAGTGACTGTGGGAAGTGACTGTGGGAAGTGACTGTGAGAAGTGACTGTGAGAAGTGACTGTGGGAAGTGACTGTGACAAGTGACTGTGACAAGTGACTGACAAGTGACTGTGAGAAGTGACTGTGACAAGTGACTGTGACAAGTGACTGTGACAAGTGTCTGTGACAAGTGACTGTGACAAGTGACTGTGGGAAGTGACTGTGAGAAGTGACTGTGGGAAGTGACTGTGACAAGTGACTGTGGGAAGTGACTGTGACAAGTGACTGTGACAAGTGACTGACAAGTGACTGTGAGAAGTGACTGTGAGAAGTGACTGTGACAAGTGACTGTGACAAGTGACTGTGACAAGTGACTGTGACAAGTGACTGTGACAAGTGACTGTGGGAAGTGACTGTGAGAAGTGACTGTGGGAAGTGACTGTGACAAGTGACTGTGGGAAGTGACTGTGACAAGTGAGTGTGAGAAGTGACTGTGACAAGCGACTGTGACAAGTGACTGTGACAAGTGACTGTGACAAGCGACTGTGACAAGTGACTGTGACAAGTGACTGTGACAAGTGACTGTGACAAGTGACTGTGGGAAGTGACTGTGACAAGTGACTGTGACAAGTGACTGTGACAAGTGACTGTGACAAGTGACTGGGAAGTGACTGTGACAAGTGACTATGACAAGTGACTGTGACAAGTGACTGTGACAAGTGACTGTGGGAAGTGACTGTGACAAGTGACTGTGACAAGTGAGTGTGAGAAGTGACTGTGACAAGCGACTGTGACAAGTGACTGTGACAAGTGACTGTGACAAGTGACTGTGACAAGCGACTGTGACAAGTGACTGTGACAAGCGACTGTGACAAGTGACTGTGACAAGTGACTGTGACAAGTGACTGTGACAAGTGACTGTGACAAGTGACTGTGACAAGTGACTGTGACAAGTGACTGTGACAAGTGACTGTGGGAAGTGACTGTGACAAGTGACTGTGACAAGTGAGTGTGAGAAGTGACTGTGACAAGTGACTGTGACAAGTGACTGTGACAAGTGACTGTGACAAGTGACTGTGACAAGTGACTGTGACAAGTGACTGTGGGAAGTGACTGTGACAAGTGACTGTGACAAGTGAGTGTGAGAAGTGACTGTGACAAGTGACTGTGACAAGTGACTGTGACAAGTGACTGTGACAAGTGACTGTGGGAAGTGACTGTGACAAGTGACTGTGACAAGTGACTGTGACAAGTGACTGTGACAAGTGACTGGGAAGTGACTGCGACAAGTGACTGTGACAAGTGACTGTGACAAGTGACTGTGACAAGTGACTGTGGGAAGTGACTGTGACAAGTGACTGTGACAAGTGAGTGTGAGAAGTGACTGTGACAAGCGACTGTGACAAGTGACTGTGACAAGTGACTGTGACAAGTGACTGTGACAAGCGACTGTGACAAGTGACTGTGACAAGCGACTGTGACAAGTGACTGTGACAAGTGACTGTGACAAGTGACTGTGACAAGTGACTGTGACAAGTGACTGTGACAAGTGACTGTGACAAGTGACTGTGGGAAGTGACTGTGACAAGTGACTGTGACAAGTGAGTGTGAGAAGTGACTGTGACAAGTGACTGTGACAAGTGACTGTGACAAGTGACTGTGACAAGTGACTGTGACAAGTGACTGTGGGAAGTGACTGTGACAAGTGACTGTGACAAGTGAGTGTGAGAAGTGACTGTGACAAGTGACTGTGACAAGTGACTGTGACAAGTGACTGTGACAAGTGACTGTGACAAGTGACTGTGACAAATGACTGTGACAAGTGACTGTGACGAGTGACTGTGACAAGTGACTGTGACAAGTGACTGTGACAAGTGACTGTGACAAGTGACTGTGACAAGTGACTGTGACAAGTGACTGTGACAAGTGACTGTGACAAGTGACTGTGACGAGTGACTGTGACAAGTGACTGTGACAAGTGACTGTGACAAGTGACTGTGACAAGTGACTGTGACAAGTGACTGTGACAAGTGACTGTGACAAGTGACTGTGACAAGTGACTGTGGGAAGTGACTGTGACAAGCGACTGTGACAAGTGACTGGGGACAAGAGCCTTGGGACAGGTGCGGAGGACAAGTGAAGCGAGCAGCTGGGGACTAATTCTGGGCACGTGCGTTGTCTGGCTGTCTAGGGTTACTGGCCACCGGCGTACCCGACCTCCCCACCAGCTTCTCTGACGCACGCAATGCTCGCACGCCCATGCATGCACGTTCATGCACGTACACCCATGTACACACGCACGCTCAAACACCCATGTGTATTGCATGCCACTGTGCCACAAGCTGCGTGTTTGATTTCAAGCAGAAACTGTCTTCCTACATCCCCGCAATATGTCCTCAGGGATCCCTTCAAGGGGAGTGGATTGGGAACGACTACATAATTTATGCTATTATCTACTCTCTATCCATGGTTAGGTTAGGGTACGGTTACTTTAGCTTAAGGTTTGGTTAGGTTAGGTTAGGTTTCATTATGTTATACGATGTATTATTGATGATAATATGAAATATGGAATTCGAAAACTGCTTCAGTGTGCCCGTGAATTTCGTTTACAGAAAACCGCATTCAATGAAAACAGTTTCAGCTTACACTTTTTATATTTAAAACCAACTGTTCATATTACATTAAAGTTATAACTTGAGAATAATCTCTATTTACGACAAAGGTTCATTTGCCACTTTACATGTAGAATATTACTGGAACCGTAATATGCTTTTAGACCATCACAAATATCTAGATAACTATCCAGGTGGTGTGAAGGAGGGGGGGGGGGGGGTTCTCATAGTAATGGATTTGCTCTGAGGACGGGCTGCTGCACAAGGGTCTCACAACACCCCTCCTCCTTCACAATCCACACCCGTTCCCTCCTTCCACAACCCCGCCCCTTCCCTCCTTCACAACCCCGCCCCTTCCCTCCTTCCACAACCCACGCCCCTTCCATCCTTCACAACCCACGCCCCATCTACAACCCATGACTCCCACCATACGAGGCGCCCCCCACTAAAACTGGATTACCTTATACAGGGGTGATTCATCTTAGGGGGCCGACCCTCCGCTCTTGTAGACAAGCGCATACATCACCCACCGTCAGGAGGCCGAGGATTTCATTGTTTTTATTTGTTGGTACCCAGTGAGGCGCTTGTTGTGGCAGTAGAGGAAGATGTAGTGGTGGTGGTGGCAATAGTAGTGGTAGTAGCTATAATAGTAGTAGTGGTAGTAGCTATAATAGTAGTAGTAGTAGTAGCTATAATAGTAGTAGTGGTAGTAGCTATAATAGTAGTAGTGGTAGTAGCTATAGTGATAGTAGCAGTACAACCAACCACAAGAATATCA